TAACTATGTTTCTTCACTGAATACTAAGTGTGTATATCTAAATTTAATGCTCGTCAGTACCGATCGTTTTTGCTGTGTACTGAACGCCATATACACCTACGTACATAAGAATATTATTTAGCACCAATCTCCACCCTAAAACCCCAGTTACTAGATCACTGCCCGTTCCACGTGCATACGTCTTGAACTTTTCTTAATCCCACCCTTTATACTCCTACTCCGTCCTGCTCTTCGTTCAATTCAAACCGTACCTATTTTTCTTTATCATCTCTTTTCTTTTAATCTCAATTCTGCCCTATTATTTTTCCGCATTTCTTCAAAAAATTTCATACTTGTCATTGAATATTTTGCGAATATGGCTTTAGACAGTGCCGTTCTTAAAACAGATAGATAGCGGTACAGCAACATTATCGTCTGGATAGATGAGAAAAATTAAAAAAACATATAAAAAAAAAAAAAAGGAATTACCTTACGCTGAATGTATAAACGAAGAAAAATTACAAAGTATATATATATAGAAAGAGAGAGAGAGAAAAACAAAGAAAGGGAAGAAAGAAAAAAGAGATTATATAGGAAAGCTTCATAAACGTATTTTTGACTCGAGCGAGTGTTTAGAGCTGCATTGAACATCAAAAATCCTCCAAACTCTGTGGTCCAAGCAAGCTGTCGTGACCTAACGAAATTGAAAATTGATTTCTTCGTCTTTTTTTTACATTTTTTTTTATATGACTCAAATACGTTAAAAATTTGTCGTTTACATACTCGATATCGTATATATTCGATAATTAACGTGTTCTTTCGTCCTTCCGCCATTATCTCTCGAACTTATGCTGCCAATATCATAATTACACCATGTGGCGGAAAGGCGAGCCGCTTATACGCGATAAAGGACTACGAGAACATTGGTGGTCAAACCACGCATCGATTCATGGATTTCTAAACACTCCACATTCCTTAACCTTGATCCCAACCTGCCCCTTTCCTCCGGTTCCCCTATCCTCGAGCCCCAGTTTATTCGTATAATCTATACATACATATATAACGTGTATAACCGTTGAATCGGCAATGGCGTTCAAAGAATCGACTATTTTTTAAAACGGCTAAGAAATGAAATGAAGTATCAAAGTGAGTGTCAAATTATTAAAAGCGGATCAGGTCGGCGCGAGTTGATCGGCGTTTTAAAAGGCGGATTCAACGTGCAGGGTCGCGAGAACCATTTTGTCTCAACTGTACTATTCGAGTAACTAATTAGCACTAAAGAAGAAAAAAATAGTAAAAGAAAAAAGGAACGAAATGAAAAAAAAACAAGTGAACAGATTCGCTCTCTTAACTTCCGTGAAGTTTCATCTCGTCTCGCTAAAAACTTTCTATAAGAGAAATAAAGAAAAAGATAAACGAACGCGTTCCCCCGAAGTTTTCGATCGCGGGGTTTACACGCGAAGCATACTTATAAATACGAGTATAAATATAAATATATAAATATACGTATAAATATATAAATATAAATACTTCTGGAATTAACGGGGTAGAGAAAGCTCGAACGAGAATATGATCGTCATTATTACTAATTATTATTGCATTAATTATCACTACGACGCAAAGATACACGGATTGTACGGGAAACGAACGCGAGATGTCGTTATTAAATAGTTATGGCCGAGCTAGCTGAATCCGTCGGACCACACGTGGTGTACTCGATTCTCGCGAAGCGAACTTCGTCCTTCAATGATACCAAAAATGAAGTCGAGATCAAGAACAACACAGAAGTTTGAGCACAAGTTAGAACACGAGGGTGATCTATTCAGAGTGAGCGAGCAAGAAAAAATGAAAGAGAAACTAGAGAGAGTGCGCGCGTGAAATAAACGTATAAAAGAGATGAATGAATGCGCAATCAGTCATGCTACAGCTACTACGACCACTACCCTAAGTAGATTATGCTACTTCGCCGCTGATCTAATTGTTTACTGTCACGTGTTGCTGTAAACCTAAACTAACGATACGATATATTTTATTTATATAATCTAATCGACTGTATTTATTGTAAATAGTCACGATGTTTGCTATGATATAATATATCTGTAATTGAATGGAACTTGCCTGGAAACTGCGCCCACAGCCCTGTCCTCTATGATCAATGATTCACTGTACACGTATTCACATGAACACAGACCTATACATCAGACTGGCGCGTGTCTCACGCATACACACACACGTATACGGATTCACACAGAGGTACTAGATATTATATGCATATGTATACAATAACACCCGGTTAAGCGTCCATGAATAGGGTCCATGAGAAATGGAGTCTATACCAGAGTCTATCTATATGTATAGGAAAATTAAAAAGTTCAGAAGAAATTTCAAATAGAGATTAAGAATCTAAAAATCACATTGGATTTTATTAGAAAGAAGTGATGGTATATATATACAAATTCCTGATACTTTTATCTTCTCAATCTCTATATTGCTTATTTCTAACGATTCGAAGAAATATTTAAAGTTAAAGAAATTTTTAAGCTCGGTGGTTATCATGGGCTATTCATGATCTACGGAGAAATATACGGAGGAACTAAGGAATTTTTGTGATTTATCCTAATTAAAAAGAAAAGTGGGCGCTTATCTGGGGATTACTGTACATGATAACGAAGATAGATGCCGAGACATTCGTGGGACAAAAACGTAAGGTGCAACGCACAGGCGCTGCTTGCGTGACCTATCGACGATGGGAGAGATAAAGACAGAAAGATTCTGTGTATCGCGTTCGACGAATTACATACATATTACGATGTCAATATTTCGCGTCGCATAATATAACGACGAGATTATCCGCGTCGGAATTTTGCCCATTATTATTATTATTATTAACTATTACGACGAATTTCGTAAAACGCGGTAAATTCGCTACGCAACAAAAGCCCATTTTCGAGGATGAAAGCGAACGATGGTCAGACAGAATTTTTATAATCTTATTATCCAGCCGTGTCACGCGGTGAAAAAAAAGAAACACCCTCGACGAAACTGCCATCCATCGATCGATGGTTCCATTTGTTAGAGAAACGTAAAGAGAAATTTTTTTCGAAGCAAATTCCGCTGTCATACACGTGTGTCGCGAAAAACCCAAACCAGCATGTCCAGTAACAATTACAATATTACTATCATAAGTACAATATATTAAGTGTTTTCAGAAAATATATGATCTATATATGATAATAAAAGCGAGAAAACGTTTCACAGCGAGTTTGTCATTGTCTCATCTATAGTCATTGATCCTCGTTCACCTTCGCCTCATTCCGACTAAAATTTTACCGTTTCTCGCGTTTTGTCCTGATATTTTTCATTTCGATTACTCAACTTCAATCTTGTCTCTTCATTCTAGCAAGTATACAGAGCACAAGAACGAAACTCATTAACTGAAACAGGAAAATAATTGAGTGACTCTGATCTGCTTTGAGTACAGGCTGTTTCAAAATATGTGGGAAGTATATTTATCGTATACTGTCGTAAAGTTTTTTTGTCATTCTTATATAACGTATTGACATCTAAAATCATGTCTACATATTTTGATAAGTCCCGTATATTCGCACAAAGAATTATTCTACTCACTATGGTTAGAAAAATCAACAGCACAGATATACTAATGGTGTGTATATGAGACTTCAGTAATAGTATCGCGTTTTTTAGACATCCTGATTTATATGCCACCGCTTCTGTCATTTGTAAACACTGTAAAAAATTGTTTTTATAAATTCAACATGAATAAGAGGATGAAAGATAATGATATCACGTTTGTTGATATATACAAGATGATTTTTATGAAATAATTAACATCACATTAGAATACAACTGCGTATTACAAAACGGTATATGTATTTCACAATAAGGACTAATATTAATATAATTTTCCAAAAAAACAAGAAAATGTACTTGTCCGATGGATTTGGAACAACAGCTTGTCGGAATTTCAACGTGATACTTAGCCCAATCCATTGCAGACTTTACTCCACAACATTTCAACTAAAAAAACAGGTTTTCTTAACAGTTGATTTTTGAAAGATAAAAATTTGTACAAGATCTTTCAGAGACATCTTGTGGTAAGTACGAGATACTCTCTTACATATCTGTGGGTATTATCCCAAGCTTCTCTGTTCCAAGACGAAGAATGATATCCTTCGATGGCGGTATTCATGTCAAACTGAATCCTCTTCGTGATTTCTTCGAAAATCCAGAAACTCATTATAGCGCTGATAAATATGATGCAGAGAAATGTCAAGTAACACAAAGCATACTGTAATAAAATAATCTTTTAAGATTCTTTATCGCCGGTAATGTAATTTCTAGTATTTAAAGACAATGCAATGTACAATATTTAAAAATTTCCTTCTTCTTCGAAGTACACCAAGAATCCCCAATGACGATACTAGTGATCCAATGAAGCTAATAAATAATAGCGATGTAACATGGAAGCGTTGATCTATCAGCCTTGTCATTATTCTATTGTCAGTGAAAATCCATATAGAGGTTACAATGCCAACAATGCCTGCAATCTTTAATTATTTTTTTTAGGAACAAAGTTCTATTTATAAACCATTAATAATTTGTTACTAATTATATTGTAAAACTCACAAGAGTTGTAATATTGATTATTAAGAAAGCCAGTTTAATACATTGTTGTGGTAAATCATTATGTGAAAATTTATGAAAGTGCATTCCTAGAAAGTGCGATTTTTTATCGGTGGATACAGTTTCGGTGCTATCAGTGATATCCTCATCATCCTCCGTTTCCGTCTCCTCCTCATTCCCATAATCCCCGTGGTCTGCTGTACCGGTAAAAAATTTGTTCCAGTTCATAAAAATTTATTCCAATGACTAGAATGTAGCTGAGATAATAAATGAATAAAATGACTAAAAAATGATAACTGTGTGTTCTATGTTAACTATGTGATTCGAAGATTTTATAATGCTAGCTATTTATTTTCTAATATTGCACATAATGTAACGTCATTGAAGTAACTAGATATTGAAACTTTCTCGCGCCAGTTTTATACAAACAGTTGCCAATAAAAGTTACATTTGAAACATTTTTGTGTTTAATGTATGCGTCATTTGGTTAAAATATAACAAAATAAAATGAATAAAAAGCAATTTCCGGCACCTTCTGCTGTAAAAAGAGCAAAATATCGGTAAATACTCGTAATATTTATTTTAACCTCACAAATTCATAGTAACGTTATTCTTACTTTGCCCAAATCTCTCATTGTTTCTCTTGAATAACAAGAACAGACTGTATTAGAACAAATTTGGTCTAAATATTGTTTAATTAATTTACTGTTACCTATTCCATGAATAAAATAAAAACGTGATATAAATAAATTTTTTATTGTGTCTTCATTGTTTTATATCTTTTAATCATTATTATTTTATTACCATATTTCTTTTCCATATTTTATTAATTTTCATATTCACTAATAGAGACGATGATGAAGATGATTATCCTGGTTCATTTGAAGCCGAACTGGCTACTATGGATGAAATGGAAGATGAATTTGGAGATATATCTCAGGTTATGGAAGAGGTATATAAGGATTAAATAATATACTACCTCTTTGTACTGCTAATACACTATAATATGAAATTTTTGCAAAATGATATTTCATCAACATTGATTACTACAGTATTGCATATGTATTAAGAATAGCATTATATAGTATTATATTAAGAGTAATTTCGATATATCATTAAGTAATATTTCTATTATCCTAGCCACCTGAGATACAACTAAGTAAAGCAGAAAAAGGAGTGAGTTAATTCGTATAAAAGACGTATTTGCTAAGCATACTGTTTTGCATACATTTGCATCAAACTGTTGAAATGCTATAAACTATGTTATTTGCTAATTTTGTTATGATATGTGTCTTTTCATTCATATAATAACACATTTTTTCAATTATTACCACCATTTAATTTATATTATGTTCATAAATAATATTAAATTTGATTTATTATAATTCACTCAATGCTAGAAAAGTTGTGTTTTAGTTGCAGGCTTATTTTAATTTGTGCTTGCTATTTAGCAAGCATTTGCTTTTCCTTGTACATGTATTTGATTATTTTTATGTATTACATATTTTGTTATGTAAACTTATTATATAGCATAAATTCATTGTTTAATGAATTTGTATTCTTATTAGGGTCCTGCACAAGAAAATACATATTCGAAATGGAGTAGACCTCCACCTCCAGAGTTAAATCCACAAAAAGATGCATTAATCTTTCAGCAAATAGAAATAGACCATTATAACGGTAATTAATACAACAAATAAACAAATTCTATCCAACTACTCCAAATTAGTTAAATTGTATTTTTTTTAAGGTATACCATTGCCTGGAATGCCTGGCAGTAACATACCTCCTGTACCAATAATGAGGATGTTTGGTGTTACAGAATTAGGAAACTCAGTTTGTTGTCATGTACATGGATTTAATCCTTATTTATATGTCACAGCACCACAAAATTTTAATGAACATCATTGTAGATTATTTAAGGTATATAATTCTAGAAATTAGTAGTAGTAATTAAAAAGATTTTTTAAAGTAGTAGTCACAATTCGTAGTATGATCTCAATATATTATTTAGGAAGCTCTAAACAAGGCTATGTTAAAAGATATGAGGTCAAATCCAGAGAATATTCAAGAGGCTGTATTAGCTGTTGAGCGATTGTATAAACAAAATATGTATGGCTACACAGGAAACGAAAAATCGTTGTTTTTAAAAATTACAGTGGCACTTCCAAGACTAGTAGCACGTTGTAAGAAAGTGGTAGAAGAAGAGACCATTTTATCCGAATTTAATCATTGCTATAGGGCTTTCGAAAGTAACATTGATTTTGATATTAGGTGTATAATTGCATCATATTTTCTATTTTTTAAATATCTGTTTCTCATTCCTGTCTAACTAGATAATTATTTATTTAAGATTTATGGTTGACACATCAGTAGTTGGATGTTCATGGATTGAATTACCACCAAAAACTTGGAAACTTCGACAGCATAATGGACATAATTTACCCTTTACTTCAAGGTGCCAGTTGGAAGTAGATATTGCATGGGATGCTTTCATTGCTCATGCTCCTCAAGGAGAATGGTCGAAAATTGCACCATTTAGAATTCTTAGTTTTGATATTGAATGCGCAGGTCGCAAAGGTAAAATTTAGCTCTTGATTGAATATTCTTTTATATGTACAGCTATTTTATTATTTTTATGTATAGGTATTTTTCCTGAGCCAAATCATGATCCCGTTATACAAATTGCAAATATGGTGATAAGACAAGGAGAAGCAGAACCTTTTCTACGAAATATTTTTACCCTCGACACATGTGCACCGATTGTTGGTTGCCAAGTTTTAAGTTTTGAGAAAGAACAAAAAATGTTAGAGGTATGAATATATCCAAAATTTAATTTTTGAATTTAGATCGTAAAACAATTAGTAAAAATAAAATAGTATATTTTCAGTCGGTGACATTTTATTTTTCATAGAAATGGGCGGATTTCGTGAGACAGTTAGATCCCGATATTTTTACAGGATATAACATAAATAATTTTGACTTTCCTTATCTGATTAATCGTGCAAAACATCTCAACGTGAGAGACTTTTACTTTCTTGGTCGAATAAAAAATATAAAGTCAGTAATTAAAACTCAAGTACTTCAAAGCAAACAGATGGGTCGACGTGAAAATAAATCCATTAATTTTGAAGGGAGAGTTCCATTTGATCTATTACTGGTAAAACTAATTATACTAAAAATTATTATAAATTACTACATTTAACTGTACATTAAGTTTACATTCACGTCTAGGTATTGGTTAGAGATTATAAATTAAGATCTTATACTCTAAATGCCGTTTCATATCATTTTCTACAAGAGCAAAAGGAAGATGTCCATCATAGTATTATCACGGATTTGCAAAATGGTAATGCGCAAACACGTCGAAGACTTGCTGTTTACTGTTTGAAAGATGCATATTTACCACTTAGATTGTTGGATAAATTAATGTGTATTTTCATCTACATGGAAATGGCAAGAGTCACTGGAGTTTCCATATGTAGTTTACTAACTCGGGGGCAACAAATAAAAGTTGTATCGCAATTATTACGAAAGGTAATTCTTCTTTTTTATCTCTTTAGAAAGTTATGCCACAAATATGTAATTTCAGACTCGAGAAAAAGACTACTTAATCCCAGTCCATCGGGGTCAAGCTAGCGACGAACAGTTCGAGGGCGCAACAGTTATAGAACCAAAACGAGGATATTATAGCGATCCTATTGCAACTTTAGATTTCAGTTCTCTGTATCCCAGTATTATCATGGCTCACAATCTATGTTACACTACATTGTTAAAACGCGATACGGAAATTAAACTTAAAATTGATTCAGATGACATTACTGTAACTCCAAGTGACTCAAAATTTGTTAAAGCTACTCTTAGAAAAGGAATTCTTCCAGAAATCCTAGAAAGTCTTTTGTCGGCTAGAAAAGCAGCTAAAGCTGAACTGAAGAAAGAAACCGATCCATTGAAACAAAAGGTTTTGGATGGTAGACAATATGCTTTGAAAGTATCTGCTAATTCTGTGTATGGTTTCACTGGTGCGCAAATGGGGAAATTACCCTGTTTAGACATTTCTGCTGTAAGATTTTAATATTTCGACTTCTTAGTAATCTGCGTTTTACTTACTTTCATAGGAAAATGGTTAATTTTCAGAGTGTTACCGCATATGGACGTACTATGATAGAACGAACAAAGCAAGAAGTAGAAGAACAATATTGCGTTTCCAAAGGATATAAAAATGACGCAGTAGTCGTATACGGAGATACTGACTCTGTTATGATAAAGTTTGGTGTGAAAACAGTCGAAGAGGCAATGGAACTCGGCCGTGAAGCAGCGGAATATGTGTCCTCAAAGTTTTTAAAACCGATAAAACTGGAATTTGAAAAAGTATACTTTCCATACCTGTTAATTAACAAGAAACGATACGCTGGTCTATATTTTACCCGTCCAGACAAATACGATAAAATGGATTGTAAAGGTTTAGAAACTGTACGAAGAGATAATTGTCCATTAGTAGCAAACATGATGAATACCTGTTTACAAAAACTACTGATTGATAGGTAATTAAATATTATATTTAAATTATTACAATTAAAACTAATCTAATTTTCTATTTTTGTTCCTTTTTTATAGAAATCCCAATGATGCGCTAAATTATGCAAAACAGATTATAAGCGATCTTTTATGTAATCGTATAGATATCTCTCAATTAGTAGTTACAAAAGAATTAACTAAGACTGATTACGCGGCTAAGCAAGCGCATGTTGAATTAGCAGCCAAAATGAAAAAACGAGATGCCGGAAATGCGCCAAAGCTTGGTGACAGAGTTCCATATGTTTTTATACGAGCAGCTAAAGGTACACCGGCTTATCAAAAGGCTGAAGATCCCATCTATGTCTTAGAAAATAATGTTCCTATAGATACAAATTATTACTTGGAAAATCAATTAGCCAAACCATTAGTACGTATTTTTGAACCAATTCTGGGCGAAAAGGCTGAATCACTTTTGTTGAAAGGAGATCATACGCGCACAAAATCCGTTGTTACGTCGAAAGTCGGTGCTCTATCTGCATTTACGCGTAAAAAAGAAATATGCTTGGGTTGCAAAGCAGTTTTAACACCGGAAAGAGAAAAGATGGCATTGTGTAAATATTGTGAACCAAAAGAAGCAGAATTATATCAAACCGAATTATATCTTGGTAGAAAATTAGAAGAAAAATTCTGTAGATTATGGACGGAATGTCAAAGATGTCAGGGAAGTCTTCATCAGGAAGTGCTATGCACAAGGTTCGTTCTGTAATCAACTAGTGTACATTTCTATTGTGTATGTGTGATAGTAAATCTAATATTATATTCTTTTAGCCGTGATTGTCCAATATTTTATATGAGAAAGAAAGTTCAAATGGAATTAGATACACAAATGATACGAATTGAAAGGTTTGGAATTCCAACATGGTAAAGTTAGATAGATTAAAAAACGTGACAGGTATGTTTATAATTGTTTCTTGCACATGCAAAAAAAATCGCTATTTCATAATTTCAATGCAAAATTAAGATATAGTTATTCACAAATATTATATAATTAACATAAAATATTTAATCCTTTTTGCAAGTTTTTGTACAAATGTATCAAAAATTTATAAATTTGTATAATAATTAATATAGCGATATTATTCGCTATAATTGTATATATATATATATGTAAATCGAAAAATTTTTTTCTGTATATATATATATAAAACACATTTTACTTACACTTAAAAAATTATATTTTATAAAATATAAATGCAGTTAATATTTATGGAATATTTATTATGAAATGGTATTTATAAAGATTTTTAAATACATAAATTAATTATCAAATTTTAGTACACTGCTCAAGTAGTTTATTTGAATAATGTACTTAATTATTTAATATTATTTGGCAATAAAATTAAATAATGCACTATTAAATAAAAACTAACAAAATGTATTTTATTTTTCTCAAATATTAATTTCAAATGTCTTGTTTTTTACTAACTAATCTTGTTCTTTTACGGTAGTATTATATTGTTCAAATCCTCTGTATTAAATTTATAAACATTATTGTGCTTTAATTTACGCCAAATCTTCATATAATTTTTTGTATTGTGTTTTTTATAAAAGAGAACGTTTTACATATGTATCTTAACGGTATATGAATGAAATTAAATCAGTTACACATATTTACATAACTATTCACACAGTATGTCAGAATGTTGACATTTCAAACAATTACCAATTTTACTGTAATATTTATAAATGATCTTTTTGGCTAATATAAGTAATAGATATATTTATCTATATCAATATACATTACACATACCATTGCCAATATAATAATAAATTTATAATTTTGCAAATTGTTTATTAAATGCCGATAAACTTTGTATTGCCTTGTATAGTAACAAAAATTATTTATCCAAAGAATGTTATGATATCATTAGGTAATAAAAGCTGCGTAGTATAGCAATGATAAAATCATCCGACAATGGTGCGGAAAAAAATATTTAGATTGAACAAATCTCTATGTTTACTTTATTTCAAGTTGTGTAGAAAGATAAAATTTTTGGTACTTTTATTCCTTGCTTCACATTACGAAAATTGTGACAAATTATAGAATCGCCTTGCGATAGAAGGCTATTTAAAATATAGTTTTAATAAATAGACAGAATGAAGTGCCCATCTTTGCATGGGTCGTTTAATTTGACAGTCATATGACTAGTCTCCTTAATAAGGCTTGGGTAGAAAAATTTTTTAATAATATTAATCATTTTCTACTTTGCAGTGCATTTGACAACCAGTCCATTGCTTGATCAAGTCCTTCACCTTTTGTTGCAGACGTTTTAAAGATTTGGAATGTTCTGTTTTTAAGAGCATCTAAACCAAGTGCTTGATGCACCTCTGCAACACTTAAACATCCTGCCATATCTTGTTTATTTGCCAGGACCACTAAAATAGCACTTTGCAATTCTTCTTCCTAAACATACACAGAAATATATATATTTATGTTTTTCATGGTTTTAACATGGTATTATATTATTATTCTGTATGTTAGGAACACCATATTAAATCAGTTTATTGTATGATGTATTTTATATTGAACGAATGATGATGAATTGATTTTCTATGTTTCTAATACAAAAAAAATAGTTACCCTCAACATATAAATTAATTCATCTTTTGATATGCCTATCCTATCCTTGTCTGCAGAATCCACAACATAAATTATTGCATCCGTGTTTGAGTAATAACACCTCCAATATGGTCTGTAAATTTGAAATATAATTACATTTAATAAATGTAATGTGTAATGTAATTCTCATTAATCAATGTCATGTAGTTCTCATAAATATTACATCATTTCAAAATATTAAACCAAGTGAAACTAAAACTATATTTGAATTCACATGTATTATATAACATACCGTATACTAGTTTGACCTCCCAGATCCCATACTTGAAATTTTAAATTTTTATATGTAACCTGTTCTACGTTAAATCCTATAGTAGGTATTGTTGTAACCACTTCACCAACCTGCAATCTGATAGATATAAGATTGAAAACAAAATATTACATACATAGTGTATCACATGCAAGTTTTAAATTTATGTCACATAAACATACACTTAATGTTTGATTATAAACATTATTGGATACAAATGTTGAAACACAAAATAGATAAACTATTCGTATGTAGAAATAAGTAGTGTATGAAGAAATAATTGCAACGTGATAGCACATAGAGAATGTATATATATTAAAACATAAACTGTCAAGTAAAACACAGCAGAGCTTGTCAATGTGAAGCACACCTGTACAAGATCGTAGTTTTTCCGGCTCCATCTAAGCCTAGAATTAAAATCCGCATCTCCCGGCTGCCGAGTAAATTACGAAAATAACTGAGTAATCCACCTGGAAAGACAAAAGTGCCAAAATTACATCGAAATATTAATGGAGAAAATCTTAACGAATTATACACCGACCAAATTTGTATTCACACGATAAGATTCGGTCCCGATTTCAGAAACATGTACCTTCATGAATTATCACACAACTCACCCATATCTCGATTACGTATTATTTCCAATTCATATAGTATAAATTAAGATTTATTGTCAAATATAATAATCACAATTGTATCCAAGTAACCGGGGCGCACACCCCTTTGACTGTCCACGGATGCAGTCCGCTTCAGATCACTTGCTGACTTGTGTCGTTACCGAACTTGCTTGAAGTTGTTTCTGTTCTCTGTGTATCTTCGATAGATCAAATAATGCATAAATTGCTATATTCAGCGTACAGTACTGCTTTGTGAACTGACCATGCTTCACCAATTGACCATCGCTGTCCCCGCCATTTCTTTTATTTCACTATGTTCTCTGGGTTCTTTTGCACACATATGATTGAATTAATATTATTAACGAAATTTTGCAAGTTACAAATTATAAGTTACCGGCGTTAATAAATTCTCTCCTTAATAGTAACAAGTTTGATAATTAAATAAAGATTTATAAATGAATTTTATAAACTCTGATCTCTTTTATAAACTGAAATCAATCCTGTTTAACATAAAATTCTAAAATTATAGAAATCTGTTTATAGAAATATCTGTATGATAGAAATCTATAAATTATACTTGTTAATTCACTAATATTATTAATTAGTGTATATTGTGTAAGAAAGCCCTGAAATACTGTCCCTTGTTAACTGGCCAAATTTGGTCCTGACTCATGGTCAATTCATAAGACATACTATATTTTTATATGACTTGATTATTAAATAATATATACTTTGTTTTTTTGTTAAGTAAATTAACATATAGAATTTGTGAAATAAACCTTTTCGAAAACTGAAATTTTTTTTTCAAAATCTTCAAGTTTACAATTAAATTTTCTGATATATTTTTAACAATATTTTTACACATCTTTTGTTGTTGAAAATATTAGATCCCAATACAAACGGTCTCGTGTTTGTCGATATTTACAATGAACATTCCTCGTGCTTTACGTTATCTAGAAATATTGTTTTCTGTTAACTTCTCGTGATTAAAAACTTGTTTCAATAAACTGATAACGTATATTGTCATAATCCTTCCTTTGAAAGAATGACATACGTATATGTGTTATATTTGATTCCTTAGTTACATCTAACATATAAATAGTTGTGATATATGCTCACTTAGAACAAACGTTGGAGTAAAGTAATCAGCAGTCCTTAAATGTTAGTTATGACATAACTCATTCTAAATTGATATTAAACCTAATTTCTTTACAAGAGCAATTATAAATAAATTACTTTTTTTTATTTAAATAATATATTTTAACAGATAAGAACAAGATTAAAAAGTATGTTAGAGAAGCAATTGATTAAATTTTAAGTTTCTCCATATTTCATATGAATACTTTTATTCAATATTCAATTCAATCTTGAAACAATCATAAATGTATACAAAATTTAAAATATACGTTTCTTAGAACATCGTTTTGGCTCTGTTAATAACGGGAGTTGCGACGCTAGTTCTCACAACGATTGATAGATGGCAGAGATATCGTCTTCTACGTTGGTTTCTTGCATGAGAGTACGAGAGATTTTTTTGTTCATAGCCTGGACCGAAAGTGGTTCTGCTGGGATGCTGCACAAACGCGGCGCCTGTGTTGCTAGTAATTGACAGCTGCCGAAAAGCGGCGACTTGGTCGGATGCGTGTGCAGATATGTTGTCTCGTTAATGAGATGGAAAATATTACTCGCGAAGATTTGAAGGAAACAAGGTGAATCTGTCTCATCTCCGTGGCCCCCGGATTCGTTTCGACACATTATGCATTTATACCAACATTATCGTCTGCGTGCTACAATTTAAAAAGTTCGTATGTGTTTACAGTTTCGCGAAAACCGTGAAAAACGTTATGTACACCCTCGCGACGTGTTCAGGATATATACATGTATCATATCCTTGATAGAATAGTGAAAAGAAAAAATGCTCACGCAACGTGAACATTGAACGAAAGTGAAGTTTTTTGTTGATAATTTTATCGAGTGTTTCTCGAGTGTCCGTCATGTCGAATACGTACATATGTTCATCCCTACCAATACGTTGAGAAAAGTTTGGTAAGCTTTTTAAAACATTTCCTATTACAATACATATCTTTAGACATTACTACTATCAAACGATAATAGTAAAAATTCTTTAAATGTACTATTTAAAACAAAATTTTATAAATTATATCTCAGTGCAAGATTTATTCGGTAACATAAACTATATGATATCATGACAAAACGATATAATCTTTTATCAATTTTTATATTTCCATAATTAAATTGAGTATTAAAAATATTTAACAATCATCATAAAATATTATTTGATGGTGAAAAAATCTCGTAAATGAGTCAGTTCAGAAAGTTCGCGCACTCTAACGTCTAATAGCCGCTGGAAACCGGTTTTCCCGAAAATGAAATTTTTCTCAAGTGCACGCGATGTTCCTATGGGAGTCGTCCTCTGATTCGGTTCTATCCCAAAACTCAAGCACCCACCAGCTCCGATTTCTTTGTGAATCGTAAGGTATATATCACATAAATCCTCGTGAAAGAACAATTTGGACCTCTGAAAGGATTTACAGCTAACCGGTTGTCACGTAGGTTGCACACTCGCGAGAACCTTCTGATAGATCGTCATGATCCTCCTCAGACTTTCGCCTGTTCAATGACGTGCTTATATATACATATGTATACACGGAGACGCTCATACAAGTTCAGCATCGAACTTTCCTATCTAATACCTAATGCATAGTCGAAGACCGATCGTCCTGTCAAAATCATATATCGTTACGTCGTTACGTGTCGTGTTGAAGGCTTTGGTTACGGTGTTCTGACGAACTTTTATTCTGACGAATGAAACATTTGAAGATTGAAATATACATATATTTTCATTTTTATTTTTCATTTTCCGATTCTTTATTAAGTTGTATATTTCATTTTCGCAGTATCAATTTTTGTAAGTTGTACTATTGAGTGATGTAATTTAAATTTAATATATTCGAACCTAATTAATTACTATGTATGTGGAAATACACTTTGTAGCCACTGTACTCATAACAATCTATATATTTGATTGATTTGATGTATTCATAAAAAATCGCATCCTCTGTAACCACAGCTTTAACCTGTTAAGATTTTGCTTCGTGTCTGAGATATCATGCTCATAATTAACATAGAAAAGAAATGCTAGAGATTTTCTAGAAATAAATCTTCTTCGATATGATTAATCCTTGGTTAATAAACAAAGTATTACTGTATATATACATTTATGACATGTTTGCCCATAAAGGTATATAATTCACACAACTCGTACCGTATATGACAAGTACAATTAATGTACCAAAGCCCACATATTACGCATAATTTCCAGTCTTATTTGTTTGAAACTTCACGGAGAATCGTAAACATAGTGCTTGGTATCATAAAGTTTGGTTTGCGTGGTATACATTTACCCAGGACTTATTAAATCGTCGATCGTTTACGTTACACTGCGCCGTATCCATGGATCCGCCAGCTCGTAACGATCTCATAAATCGTGTTGATCTACGGTCCCGCAGGGGGGAGGGCGTTTACGTGCATCCTACTGTAACATCGCGAAAGAAATGACGAAAAGAACTGTTACAAGCAGCCGGTAATGTACGCCGCTGTCCTCGATGATACGCGACGAAGGAATGCATGCTGGGGAGCGGTGTGTGTCTCTGTCTCGGAATCGATAAGACAGTGAATCCAATCGTGGAAGGTATAAAGCAATAATGACAAATGGGGAGAAGGTTCGTTTCTATGAAAGGTTATTCGGGTTTCACGATGTTTTGTGGGAAATTTCGTGATGTCCTCCGACTGTGGTTCATTCGATTTCCTAATATACAATAAAAAGGATGACGCTACAGATAGAGATAACACAGGTTCATGAAAGTATTTGGATACCCACCATAGAAACCTTTTACAGATATTGTACGTGTTACATAAAACATTTTGAAATTTCGTTAGAACTGCTATCAGGTATGATTCAACATACATAATATTCATAAACGTGTGTATGTAATAAATAATACTCGTAAACATTCGAATACTTTCATAAACAACTATATATCAATTCGCCATCGAAAAGTGTTTT